CCTGTGGGCAATAAGAGGGCCTCTTTTTGTAGGCCCATTATGGGTTCGGCCAGGCCCACAATGGGGCTACCGGGTGGTGAGAGGTGGGCCCGACATATCCGAATGGACCACCCCCGAGGAATTCCTGGGGATTTTTCGACCCTTTCGGATTCGAGCCCGGGTCCCCCAGGGCGGTGGGCTGCCAACTTGACCGCTCGGCCATCCGGCCGCGGAATTATTATCATTTTACAGGATATATAAGTTGCATTGAACGACCGAAACCATTGTCGGGCATATTGCTTTTGCTTCGGTACGTTTGTTTGCAATCTTGCTTTTAGTTATCGTCTGTTAATTATTTACTTGTTAATACGACGACAAAATCTTCGATGTTTCCGGGAGAAAACAAAGTCAGAGCTTCAATGGCTTCCCTATCTGTTATGTTTTTACAGCATAACGGGCTCGAATGCGCAAACGCCATCTAGTATTGTGTGTTTATAATTATAATGTCCGGTAAATATAATATAAAATACGTCGTGCGCAAACTCTGTAATTACATTTTAAATAACATTTTACATGGATGAGTAGAAAATAATAATAATGTCTAATTAATTTTATTTAGTAATACACAGGATATCTCCAATCTTTTGATCGATATTTTTCCAGCTTATGAAAACGTTGAATACAAAAAGTTTTCCATTCACTTTATTCGGCTTTGGTTTCGAGTTATGTTCAAAAAAACTGTCAATTTCGTAAAAAAATTTTTGAACATGTCCGGTTGTAGTCTACCAATTGGTTGACTACAACCGGACATGTTCAAAAATTTTACAAAATCAAGAAAAATACATCTTCATTCAAGAAAAAATCAGATAATTTTTCTTGAATGAAGGTGTATTTTTCCTGTCAAATAGATTTTTTTACAATTTTGAAAATATGGATTTTTATTAGTGAAGTCTCTTTTCAGATCTTAGGAAGATCTAAAGCTAAAAAGCGACCATTAATTCGCATAACTAAGCTTAACTGCATCTTTAAATTTTCGTAACCGTCAAATTTTCAAACTGGTAGTACACAAAGCTTTTTTATTCCAAATTATTACACATTTCAAAAGAAATACATGTAATCATTTGAAGGTCAATTTAGTGACCTTTGACCAGCTTTTTTTACCATGAAAATGATTTCCATGGTAAAGATCATCTCAACACAAACAAAAACGTTTTCATCAAGATTTTTTTCGGTTTAGGGCTTGTTTTCGAGATACATCTAATTGAACAGAAACCAAGAAAATTTTATGCTTTTTACATTTTTATTAAGTTTAAAATAAACGATTTGTTGAATCCTAAAGAAAACAAGTGTTAACTTATGTGCAGAATTTTATTTCTAAAAAAAATAAAATAAGAAAACAACCTAAGAATGGAAGAGTTATAATTTTGAAAGAGCTATAATTTGAGTACAAATACTTGTGTAAATTAAGTGTAGAACAATGCCAAAATTCTTTTGATAAATTTGAAATAATTTTTGACAATTAGTTTGTGATGATGATAAATTTCCAAAAAAATCTTTGGCATTTTTTACACTCTACATTCGTATAAAAGAGTACGCTGATATAGTTTTTGTTATGGATACACAAATGAATCATCGGATGGTGCTAGAAGAGAATACACTATACGTTTTCCGGATCGCTGTATTACCTGCAAGAAGATAAAAATGAGTTATACTATCAGAAGCATTACTTCTGATAGTCTAATCGTAATTTAAAACATTAAAAAATTGATTTTTTTTAGTTTTCGCACTGTTAAATTATCGAAGGTATATAAAAAATTGTCTTGATTTTTTTATTTTCTAATACATAACAGATAGAAACGTGGTCTAATATTCTCCATGTTCTATTATTTTCATGTAAAACGATTTACGATTTATCGAACTCTAAGGAAAGCAGATCTCAAACCATTTTGTATTCAAAAACTGCAAAATATACTTCCTAGCGATTTTGAAAAAAGGATTACATTTTGTCAAATATTTTTAAGAAAATATCGTGCTGATGATAATTTTCTGCATAAAATTATTTGGTGCGATGAGGCTTCATTTACCAGAAAAAGTATTATAAATATGAAAAATTCATACTTTTGGATGAGAAGTAATCCACATTTGAAATCATAAGTACTCATATTAGCATGAAATCACAGTAAATGGATGGACAGGCTTATTAGACAATCAACTAATTGGTGCAATTTTTATTGAGAATGAATTAATTCAAATAACTTTTTGAATTTACTGCAAAATGATTTGGAAAATTTTATTGTTGATTTATCGTTAGCAGTATTAAATTGCTTTATAAGATGCTTTGTTTCAATTAAACGGTTGTCAAGCACACTGGATAAATATTTTATAAAGATATCTGAAGTTGTTTGCTTTTAAATTTTCAGATATAATTTATTTAATATCTACTTCGTTTCTTGTAAAGGTTCGAAAATGGCTAAATCAAAATTTCGGAGAAAATTTGATAGGCAGAAATAATCCAGTAAATCGGCCTGCACGCTTCTCTGATCTTACTCTTTCTTTGTATTTTTTCTTTGTTTGATGGCAGGGGATGGTTTATGCTGTTCCTATAAGCAATAGATAAGAATTAGTTCAAAGAAAACACATTTCTTACAACAAATTACTCCAGAAATATGCCGAAAAGCTACACGTAGTTTAGTCAGTTGTAACTTGTGTCTCAGACATAAGTTAAATCAATTCCGGCAATATTTATAAAGAAATGCACCAAAATTTAATTCTTACGTTGTTTTACTGTACTTTCTCTGAGAAATGAATAACTGAAGTTCAAATTTGTTTTCTGTGACATTACTTTTGAAAAAAATTACTTTTTCGTATTGAATATGCTATATGAATGAAGAATGAATGTTTTTTACAAGTTATTTGCGTGGAAATATTTTTTCGTTCAAGTTCAATTAGCTGTATCTCGAAAACAAAGCCTGTCCATCCATCAACATTAACAAAAAACGTTGAAGAAAATGTTTGTTGTTCGTGTTGAGATGATCTACACGATGGTGCCAGAAAAATATTTTCTCGGTAAAAAAAAAGTTGTCAAGGTCGCCAAAATGACCTTAAAATAAAAGTTTCTTTTGAGATGTGTGATCGATTGGNTTATGTACAAATTAAATCACAAATAACAAATACAAACTAATAAAAGATAATAAAAATAATAATCATGAACGTCAAACATTTGTATTTCTCAGATTCTCAACTGTATATCTACTTTTGTACCCCCTGTATATATAAACTAAATCACAAAAATAATTTTTTACAAACTTAATGAATTTATAAAAATTTTCAAATGAAACAATATATTAAGTCTTGTCCCTTTTTCACATCTCAAGAAATAACTGATTCAAAAATGCAAAAATAAACATATTAAATTTAAGAAACTGGCTGTAAATTATCTCAGCTTAGACAGATTAACATTGGCTTTGTGTGAAATTTGAGAGAAAGATGTTATTTTTGAGGTCAGAGTAGATTGTTGGTGTAGTCCACACTAACTAACTAAATACTATTACTAATGTCAATAAGTCATTAATTGTTTCATTGTCTTGTAAACAAAAACACTACTCCTGATTTTAAGTCAATCAAATTACAATGTCATTATTTTATTGTACTGGGAAGAATGTTTTCTTTAACGTTTAGTTAACAACTAGTTTTGTTAGATCTAGTTAATTTTATATTTTAGTCACTGTTTAACTGGCATGTCAGTAACCCCGGGATTTCCGGCATGTTGGTCTCTCTCGATTTTATGTGGCATGCCAATGATTCTATGAAAATACGGTATCAAATTGATCCGACCAGGATAATATGATGGACCATGATGATATAGATGCTTTCGTCATTTGAGTCCCAAATACAGAACAGTACCAAAAATTCTGTAGCCTCAAAAAAGTTTTCTTTGCTATCTTTTTTGAGTAATAGAGACCTTAATATTCATTTGGTTTCTTAAATGAGATAAGGCTAATTCTAAATAAAAAATGGCAATGCTGAGTGATATGAAATAGAACCATCTGGTCAACAGTCCGAATTCAGATGTTAGATTAATAATAACAACATTACTATAACAAATAAAAATAAATAATAAATATTACAATGCATTATAAAGTACACCATCTATTGAGAAAGTCAGATAACAAATGAAGCTATAAACAAACAGATTTTGATTATTATATTAATAATAATAACATTTTTACTACTACTAGATCTTGTAACAAACTTAAAGCAAAGATTTCTGATTTTAGAATGCTGTAATTGTTTATGGTCTTGATACCTAGAAACATTCCCAGTACAAACTAAGAAAGTTTTTGACTTTGGAAATAAAGAAATATTACAGCTTCATACTTTGCTGCAGTCACATCTAAATGTAAAGAAAAATGAGTTCTTGTGGAATGCAACATGTTTAAAAAAATACTTATCTGCAGGTACAAGGATATCTGTCTCTCAGGTGTCCACTAATTAATGGTCAAAAATGACTTCTAAACTGATTTTCCTCATGTGTTCTTCATTTTAGAATATGCCCTTGCGATTCCAGTACATACTGTTGACTGAGTGTGATGAGATTCATTTCGCTAAGGTGATTTTAGTGAAATGATTCTCATTATAATCCCAATATGCAATAGACCAGATATAATAAATGTTAGCAATTTGATGAATATATCAATCAATGATCCATCTTAAAGAGAATTTGATTTCCAAGCTGTCTTTACTATAAGATGCCAGAAAAAACAGAGATGCATTCAATTGTGACCTTAGTACAGCTATGAGCGAGTTATAGCATTTCTAATTTTCTACTGGATATCAAATATCAAATATAGATATCGAAATAAAATCTATAATTTTTATGTTAAAAGCATTTTTTTACATTACTTGTTTTGCTACAAAATTTTTAATTTTTCTAGTTTTCAAGACAACATTAGTAAAAAACCTATAGGTTTGAAAAAGATAGCAAGTTCCCTAGATATTCAATTATTATTTTAAATACTTACTCTAATTATTTCTGATTTCTTTTTCTTTGTTCTTAAAGGTATAGCAATTTCTTCAGTTTTAACTTCTGATGAACATTGTCTTAGGAATAAAGGCTTTAAAACACATATATTCTTCTTCAAATATTGGGAAGAAATTTCATGGCTTGAAACAAAACCAACCAACCTATTTAAATATAAATATATACATAAATACAATTACAAACAGATTTTAAAAAATTAAATTCAAACTAGTATATATTATGAAAAACATTTTATTTTTCAATGTTTTTTCATATTGAAAAAAAAAACAAAAAAATAAATTAGTTGCTGATGAATGAATGTGTTACAGATTTGATTTATATTTCATTTTTTGTTTTACTTTGAATGTTATGTTATTTTCATGAAAGTGATATGAGACAGAAAAATATATTATTATTATTATGTTGGGTTTTGTCAGTTATACTCGGTTATTTAACACCGGTGGCTGTGTACTATGCCGGACCAAAGTCAAGGCATAGCAACCAAAACAAAACTAAAATTAAATAAGTGTGTCAGTGTGTGTGTCTGTATTCAGAAATTTCCTAACAATATGGCATGTATTTAATATAGTGGCCTTCTGTAGTGTGATGTATGTATTTCTANAGACGTGTTTTTTTTAGGCGTTCTTTATATGTCATTTTTTTTCTTGCTAACATTCTGTAAAAGACATATTATACCATAATTAAATGTATGAGATAGGCTAAAAGAGTAAAAATGTATATTGACTAAATTACGGAACGACGGTTTACGTGTTATCCATAAAAATACTCTGATCTGACGTTTTTATCTCCCCTGGACATAAAGTCTTACCCCTGGAATCTTAAAAGGCAGGGGAGATAATTTTTCGTTAGAAAACTGAAATAATCGTAACAGTATTTATCGTACATAATTAACAAATAAATATGAGAATCTATGCACAAATAACAGAATCGGTTAGGGGACAGGCCAGGGGAGATATATTTTTCATGTTTGAAGTACTATTGTGACTAAATTAAGTACATTTAAGTAATGAATTTAAGTGACCATAAAGAAGATGGTGAGTTTTGAGAGATAATAACATTATTTCAAACAAATTTTGGAAAAAAATGTGATATTTTCTCATGGACGTTGAAAGTACCTCTTAACTTAGAATGACCCATATACGTATTTAGATTAGGATTATGGATTTTCAATCTATTCCATTTATTAACTCGATATTAACAAGTTACTACATAGTTTATTTGTATGGGTAGAGGTTTGCAGCATAAAATAAATACTGATAGAACGAAATACCTTTTAATGTAATTCCACGTGTTGTGGTTGTATAAACAATTATAATTACTGCACGTGTTTGGTGGATTATTATCATTTTAATAGATAATTTATTAATATCGAAAAATTACGTTTATCACATCAAACGCCTTACCCTTTACGTGTAGACCGACATTTAACAACTGTGACAATGTAATAGGGTTGTACTTAGTTTCAATTATAAAATTGCCGATGGTAATTTAAATATTTAAGAATATATAGAAGAATAGAATAAAGAAGAGTGTTTTGAATTCTTTAATAGATTGCTCTTCAGTTATAATCCGACAAGACACACAGAACTTGTAGAAAGAAGACTACGATCTAAACAAGGGAATTAGGGGGTTTATATTGGCTACACGACTAGAAGTTTGACCACATTACTGAAGTAGTCATAAAATACTAAATTAATTTTAACCAATAAATAAATATATAGTGTATTTATATATAATTTACGATACAATTTTTATAATTACATTGCCCATTTAATAACTGTTGGAAAAACTTTGAATTGTGTTAAAGCATATATTTAAATTTCAAAAAAGTAAATACAGTAACAATTTAACTTTAGATAAAGCAATGAAATAACATTTTAAGCGACTTTAAAAAATCCAGCAACCCGTAGAAATAAATAATACGGCGGATATTTGCTACCCCATATTACGTCTATGAGCGGATCCCTTTTGTTAGTAATTGGCATTTACAGTTCTTGTTTTAACGCTTATTAGAATCTGATTAATTAATAATTTCTATTCGAAATGACAAGAGTTCAATAAACGAGCGTGATTTCATAATAGCCCAAAGGCGCTATTATGAAATCCTTGGGGAAAACACACTCCTTTAAGAAACTATTGTGATTCTCCTTCGGAAAAATACACTCCTTTAAGGTCATGCCATCAGGGCATATAACGTAAAAATTGAAATATTTATAATTTTTTTAGCACTGTTTTAGAAAACATTCAAGTTACGCGCCTTTATTTAAACGAGAAAGTGTCTTTTTAATAATATAAAGCCTTAAATTGCTTCGCAAATACGTAACTTACGGTTGATTAAAAAAATTAATTACTCGCTTAATATAGTCGATTATAATAGATTAAAGATAAATAGAAAACTTGCAGTAAGGCATTTCGATCAAATGCTTTAAAAATTTAGCAATGAGTCGTGTAACTTTTCCATCGAAATCTTAAACTGTGCAAGAATTTGCATTTAGGTCCCTTAATTAATTAGGTTTGGGAAATTAATAAAACAAATACATTTATTTTGGGCTAACCTTCCACATGGGCCCTGTGCTGGTTCACTTATTGAACCTGCCTAGTTACGGCACTGTTCAGATCAATCTGTTAGATTTAATTTTAAAAACTTTTTATATTAGTAATTTTTATAAAATGGCAAAAATATCAATTTTTGAGGGTTGTGATCAGCTTTATAAAAGGTTAGAAATGCTAATAAGGAGTAGTAAAATTTTCACTTACTGTAAATATTCACAAGTCGATGTTAGGAACAATAATTGCTTACCATATAACACGTGGGTTTTATAGCTAGAAATTATCACGTGGGCTGTAGAAGTAACACCACTCGACTTTCTTAACGTCGGTTTGTACTCGTTTGTTTAGTATTATAACACTAACAACACTACGTTTCAGTTTGTTACTTACTTTCGGAATAACCTTAACGAAAAAATTTATTAATTGATATTGATTAATGATATTCTATTCAACCACAAGAGGTAAGTGATTCGAATTATTCATTTATTTATGCAAATATAAATTTCAACTCCACTGTTTTAAAATCTTTCTTTTATTGAATACGCAGTGTTAACAAAGGAAAGTATTCTAAACTGAGAAAATGGAGATAAAAGAAGAGTTAGATACAAAAGATTTCGATTTTACTTTTGAAACAAGTAAAGAAAGTTTTAAAGTTGTATTAAAGGATTTCAAGAAAGAATTAAATACGGATGATAAGAAGTTTTGTAGAAGAATTAAATTAGAACCTTTAAAATGTGAAAACGAGAATGATACAGGGGTGAGTAAAAAGTATTGTTCTCTGTGATAAAAAACACATACCTGTGGGAAGGTTTGACGATAGGGAAGAAAGTATAGGCAAATTTTACATAGAGTAACTTTGAAGGACTATATTTCGAGAAGGGTTACGTGTAGAGGCATGGTTTCTTTGACTTTTTCGCTGCTTTGAGTATGTTCTGCTGCTCTGTTAAAGGTCTCAACCGTCTTATTCGGAGCTTGAATTAAGCCCTCTGGGAACTAACGTTGCTTTCAGGACGAGAAAAACGAGTAAAATATTAAAATACATTATTTTTATAAATAATAGTCGTATGAGCTTTAGATCGAGATAGACTCGTCATTGTAAAAGACAAGAGGAAAAAGCCATTTTGGCAGTTTCCTATAAAATTTGACATTTTGGCCATAGTGTTCGTTTTCTATAAATTAAGCGTCATTTGCAAACTTTCTACGTTTGCATTATTCTTTCGAAAATGTTAACATGAACTTTATTCATTTAAATTCATGCCAACCAGAGAAAATGTCGGTACGATTTTGATAAGAGGGAAGTCGACACGAACCGGGACGGATCCATTGTCTTTTGATATTTTCTCATGGACGTTGAAAGTACATCTTAACTTAGAATGACCCATATACAAATTATCTAAAATAAATTTCTACCAAAAATTCTTTACATTTGGTGGTTTTCTTCTTTTCAACTGTAAACACATTACAGAAACATATTATATCAAACCACATGCAAAAGTTATATTCTGTATATTTCAATTACCATGTTGTAACCACTCACCGAGAAATAAGCATAATGATGACTCTATTATCGATTAAAGCACCATTTATCAACGAAAAATCGTTAAATAATTATACAGAATTTTTACATAGTTTATAATTTACTGAATTGTTAATTATTTAGACATAGATCTAATAAACAAATAGCACAGAAATCGACATAATTTAACTTCTGCTCACATGGATCATCGTCGGTGACGTATTATGTTATGTAAATAATCGCCCAAAACACGCCATAACTTTAAAAAAATTATTAATTTATCAATAATAATATTTATCAGTAAAAATATTTTATGTTAATTATATTACATAAAAATATAAAAATAATCTTGTGATAAGATTCAGTATTTTAAACAAGTAAGTATTTTCTAGGAAAACGAAATTGAGCTCCGCGCCTTAGAAAACTAAAATTGCGCGAAAACAGGGTTTCGAATTAATCTAAATCTAAAGTAGAAAACTTGTCGTAGAGAGTAATGTAAGTCGACAGCAATCGGAAACTCGATTGACATGTAACGAGCTTACAACCGGGAATCGGCCATGACCAGACTTTACAGACGGCCGGATGGCAAAGTGGTCGAGGTGGCAGCCCACTGTTCTGGGGGACCCAGGTTCGAATTCAGAAGGGTCGATAAATCTTCAGAAGTTTTTCGGGGTGTGATCCGTTTGGATATGCCGGACCCGTTCTCATCACCCGGCCGCCCCATTGTGGGTTTTGCCGAACTCATAATGGGCTTGCTATAAGAGAGCCTCTTAGCACTCTGTACCCTGTGGTACAGGGCGGAAAGAGTTAACGCAACGCTGTTTCGCTTAGCGCTTTGTTATCTAGGAACACATTCCCGCGTTAAGCGGGGTCTTACTGTAGTTATAAAATAAAAATTTATGCCGAAGTCTATTCTCAATAATCCCTAACGAAGATACCTGGATACGCCTCTGATTCTAACTCGTTCTCCCCAAATCTACGAGAATTCTAACTCGTTCTCCCCAACAAATCTTAATTGATAAATCCTGACAAAATAATTGACATATTTAATTTTTCCCCATACGCTATATTATTTTTATAAATTCTTGTAATATTTTTTTTATCATTTTTTTATATTTTACATTAATTCATTTGAATCTTGGTTATGTATTTTCCTCTCGAATTAAAAAGAAAATTATTTTTAATTATCATTTACTTTTTAAATGTTTATATGGGCGAGGAAGACATCTGATGACACGTCTCATGTGAACAACAAACATTATTATCATTTTTTTTAATACTCTTTCCGCCCTGTGGGCAATAAGAGGGCCTCTTTTTGTAGGCCCATTATGGGTTCGGCCAGGCCCACAATGGGGCTACCGGGTGGTGAGAGGTGGGCCCGACATATCCGAATGGACCACCCCCGAGGAATTCCTGGGGATTTTTCGACCCTTTCGGATTCGAGCCCGGGTCCCCCAGGGCGGTGGGCTGCCAACTTGACCGCTCGGCCATCCGGCCGCGGAATTATTATCATTTTACAGGATATATAAGTTGCATTGAACGACCGAAACCATTGTCGGGCATATTGCTTTTGCTTCGGTACGTTTGTTTGCAATCTTGCTTTTAGTTATCGTCTGTTAATTATTTACTTGTTAATACGACGACAAAATCTTCGATGTTTCCGGGAGAAAACAAAGTCAGAGCTTCAATGGCTTCCCTATCTGTTATGTTTTTACAGCATAACGGGCTCGAATGCGCAAACGCCATCTAGTATTGTGTGTTTATAATTATAATGTCCGGTAAATATAATATAAAATACGTCGTGCGCAAACTCTGTAATTACATTTTAAATAACATTTTACATGGATGAGTAGAAAATAATAATAATGTCTAATTAATTTTATTTAGTAATACACAGGATATCTCCAATCTTTTGATCGATATTTTTCCAGCTTATGAAAACGTTGAATACAAAAAGTTTTCCATTCACTTTATTCGGCTTTGGTTTCGAGTTATGTTCAAAAAAACTGTCAATTTCGTAAAAAAATTTTTGAACATGTCCGGTTGTAGTCTACCAATTGGTTGACTACAACCGGACATGTTCAAAAATTTTACAAAATCAAGAAAAATACATCTTCATTCAAGAAAAAATCAGATAATTTTTCTTGAATGAAGGTGTATTTTTCCTGTCAAATAGATTTTTTTACAATTTTGAAAATATGGATTTTTATTAGTGAAGTCTCTTTTCAGATCTTAGGAAGATCTAAAGCTAAAAAGCGACCATTAATTCGCATAACTAAGCTTAACTGCATCTTTAAATTTTCGTAACCGTCAAATTTTCAAACTGGTAGTACACAAAGCTTTTTTATTCCAAATTATTACACATTTCAAAAGAAATACATGTAATCATTTGAAGGTCAATTTAGTGACCTTTGACCAGCTTTTTTTACCATGAAAATGATTTCCATGGTAAAGATCATCTCAACACAAACAAAAACGTTTTCATCAAGATTTTTTTCGGTTTAGGGCTTGTTTTCGAGATACATCTAATTGAACAGAAACCAAGAAAATTTTATGGTTTTTACATTTTTATTAAGTTTAAAATAAACGATTTGTTGAATCCTAAAGAAAACAAGTGTTAACTTATGTGCAGAATTTTATTTCTAAAAAAAATAAAATAAGAAAACAACCTAAGAATGGAAGAGTTATAATTTTGAAAGAGCTATAATTTGAGTACAAATACTTGTGTAAATTAAGTGTAGAACAATGCCAAAATTCTTTTGATAAATTTGAAATAATTTTTGACAATTAGTTTGTGATGATGATAAATTTCCAAAAAAATCTTTGGCATTTTTTACACTCTACATTCGTATAAAAGAGTACGCTGATATAGTTTTTGTTATGGATACACAAATGAATCATCGGATGGTGCTAGAAGAGAATACACTATACGTTTTCCGGATCGCTGTATTACCTGCAAGAAGATAAAAATGAGTTATACTATCAGAAGCATTACTTCTGATAGTCTAATCGTAATTTAAAACATTAAAAAATTGATTTTTTTTAGTTTTCGCACTGTTAAATTATCGAAGGTATATAAAAAATTGTCTTGATTTTTTTATTTTCTAATACATAACAGATAGAAACGTGGTCTAATATTCTCCATGTTCTATTATTTTCATGTAAAACGATTTACGATTAAAATAAATTACGATTTATCGAACTCTAAGGAAAGCAGATCTCAAACCATTTTGTATTCAAAAACTGCAAAATATACTTCCTAGCGATTTTGAAAAAAGGATTACATTTTGTCAAATATTTTTAAGAAAATATCGTGCTGATGATAATTTTCTGCATAAAATTATTTGGTGCGATGAGGCTTCATTTACCAGAAAAAGTATTATAAATATGAAAAATTCATACTTTTGGATGAGAAGTAATCCACATTTGAAATCATAAGTACTCATATTAGCATGAAATCACAGTAAATGGATGGACAGGCTTATTAGACAATCAACTAATTGGTGCAATTTTTATTGAGAATGAATTAATTCAAATAACTTTTTGAATTTACTGCAAAATGATTTGGAAAATTTTATTGTTGATTTATCGTTAGCAGTATTAAATTGCTTTATAAGATGCTTTGTTTCAATTAAACGGTTGTCAAGCACACTGGATAAATATTTTATAAAGATATCTGAAGTTGTTTGCTTTTAAATTTTCAGATATAATTTATTTAATATCTACTTCGTTTCTTGTAAAGGTTCGAAAATGGCTAAATCAAAATTTCGGAGAAAATTTGATAGGCAGAAATAATCCAGTAAATTGGCCTGCACGCTTCTCTGATCTTACTCTTTCTTTGTATTTTTTCTTTGTTTGATGGCAGGGGATGGTTTATGCTGTTCCTATAAGCAATAGATAAGAATTAGTTCAAAGAAAACACATTTCTTACAACAAATTACTCCAGAAATGTGCCGAAAAGCTACACGTAGTTTAGTCAGTTGTAACTTGTGTCTCAGACATAAGTTAAATCAATTCCGGCAATATTTATAAAGAAATGCACCAAAATTTAATTCTTACGTTGTTTTACTGTACTTTCTCTGAGAAATGAATAACTGAAGTTCAAATTTGTTTTCTGTGACATTACTTTTGAAAAAAATTACTTTTTCGTATTGAATATGCTATATGAATGAAGAATGAATGTTTTTTACAAGTTATTTGCGTGGAAATATTTTTTCGTTCAAGTTCAATTAGCTGTATCTCGAAAACAAAGCCTGTCCATCCATCAACATTAACAAAAAACGTTGAAGAAAATGTTTGTTGTTCGTGTTGAGATGATCTACACGATGGTGCCAGAAAAATATTTTCTCGGTAAAAAAAAAGTTGTCAAGGTCGCCAAAATGACCTTAAAATAAAAGTTTCTTTTGAGATGTGTGATCGATTGGCATAAAAAAGCTTTCTTACTACCAATTTGAATATTTGACCTCGAAACCAGATCGACAGTCACGAAAACTTAGATGCAATTAAGCTTGAATTAATTACGCGGATTAATGGTTGCTTTTTAGTTTTAGATCTTCCTAAGACCTGTAAAAGACTTCATTGATATAAATTCACATTTTTAAGGTTATAAAAAATCTACTCGATAGAAAAATAACTCCTTCATTCAAGAAAAAAGTTCGAAATTAGTTGACTAGAACCGTATTCTATTACATATTCAAGAAATATGCGCAAAATCTGTCAATTTTGTAAAATAACTTGAAATCAAAGCCGAATAAAAAAAAGTCTAAGGAGGAAAACATGTTGTATTCAACATTTTCTATCAGCTGGTAAAATATCACTCAAAAGATTGGAGAACATTCTGTATTTACAATAAATCAATTAGAAGTAAAAAAGTCTATACTACGAAAAATATTTTTTTTTGTTAGAGATTTAGATATCATTAATTAGTTACTACTAGTTTTAAATTGATTTTGAAATTAATTATTAACCTAAAATAACTTGTAAATCGCGTTGAATGTTAAAAATTATTTTTTGGATTATAATTTGAAAAAATTGTAGACCTATAAATTCCTAATGCCGTCCGTCTGTCTGTCTGTCTTAATCTCGAAACGGTGTTAGATAAATGAAATGCAAGACTGGATATGGAAACCTTAGGGCAGGAGGCTTCGATTATATAGAACGTCCGATGCAAACTGGAAGTCACGTTATTTCGATTCAAAACTTCCC